TTATTAAAAATTATACATGAATTGAAAAATTATTCACAAACAAAATTTTTATTTTATAAACGGTATTTTGTATGGAAACCTTTTATAATATAAAAATGTTGTTTGTGAATAAGGGGGTAGAATATTATTTATTATTTACTTATTAAAAAAGTAAATAAATTATCAATTAAAATAACAAAAAATTAGTATTAGATTACAAAATTGTAAGTAGTAGCAAAAATACAAATTACATACATATTATTTTTTATCAGTCAATATTGGGAACTTATAATACCGTGTAGGTCTCTACTATTGTTGTATAAGAAATATGTAATGATCTTTATAGAAATGTGATAAAACCACTACCATGGAAAGTTGTTAAAAATTAAGATATCTATGATAAAATCGAGTTTTAATAATTTTATTTACAATTTGTACTCTCAATTGATTAGTAAAAAGTTCCCTATAATTGATAAAATAGATGAATATTTAAGACAAATAGTTTGTGCAATTTTTGAGTAATTCGCATAAATTTACTACGGATTAAAATGAATATAAAATTTATTTATTCATTTTTTGTCCTAATAATATAATGCATCCCCAGATAGATGTACATATTTTTTCGGATTGTGGCAACTCTAAATGGTGTACTTTGACAGTTGTATCTACCTCAAATAAAAAAAATTTGTGATCAGCTGTTGAATTGACTTCACCTTATAAGTGCACCTTGTCCCAGACGTTCTCTTCTACACAATATGTATAATGCAGACAGTGTGACCATTTTGGCATTTTTGCAGCTAGATTTTGCATTTTTTATTTTGATTTAGCTGTAAAATTTTAATTTAGCATTTGGCATTTTATTTAGCATTTTTATAAAATATTTTTAGCATTTTTAGCTTTTTTTGCAATTTTAGTATATAAACAAAAAAAGACAAATTTTTGCAAAAAAGATTTATATTGGAAATAGGTTTAACAGGAAAAAATCAGAATTAAATGTCTACCCAAACACAAGCAACAAGAAATATGAGAAATGTAATAATTTACACTGTAATTCAAGATAATGCAAAAAGATTCATGAAGATAAATAACTTAAAATTACGCCAATACAAGTGAATACTTTAAAATGTTGAATTCTAAAATATTTTTCTGAAACCCAATGCTTTTTTAAATTCGAAGTGATAGAAATAATTCAAGAGATTTCATATATTTTTACAAATACGTTCAGTACGTTATTTTACAAACTAATACTTTTTGTTTGCTCATGGAATGAAACATATAATTTTGGAAAAGGCTATGTATGACGGTTAATTAACAAATTTTATTTTTTCCTATACGAAATAAAGTTCTTGTTAATTTATTGAAAATAAGTATTGAAAAAAAATCAATAATATATAATTAAGACTTTCCCATTCTACTTTCTGTTCTTTTTATTTTTACCAAATTTTTAGTAATTTTGTTGTCACGTTTTTTTTTTTTTAATTAAAAAAAAATACATAAATTTCGAAAATATTATTGACAATTTATTCCAGAATTACAAACTTACGGACTTAAATATATTTCTCAATTCATTTCATACATTCTCATATATATTTTTCCGAAAAAATCTTGGAAGTATGAGTTATAAACCTGACATCTATTCACCGAGATTTAAAATTATTTCAACGGAATTTTCAATATTTTTGTGACATGAAAACCATTTTTAAGTGTTTTGAGGAAGACAAATAAAATTGTTTATATAAAAAAAGTAAAACTAGAAATCATAGAAAAGGTATACATAGAACTGAAACTGAGTATGACAAAACCTAAGTCTACTGTCAAAAACCTAAGTCGTGAGAATGTATTAGTTGAAAAATATGTAACCCAACAAACACAAACTCTTTCGTTTAAAAAGTTTTTATATTTTTGTTTGATATTATATTTCGATATTTTATGAAATAATGGTTTGAATTAGCCATTTTTATTCAATATCAGTTGACCAATGTAAGAAAGATCTTCATTAAAAATTATTTTTAATTTTAAATAAACTCTTTGTGGTTGCTGGGTTGAGTCAATATTGACACTTGAAAATAATATTAAAAAATCAAAACGATTGAAAAATTTGTTTTTTTTTTTCTGAAAATGTTTTCAATAATTGTATGGGAAAACATAACTTTTAGCAGTGTTTATTGCAGCAGCAGGGGCTATTTTGCCAAAGGAATTGTGCTAATGCTAAAATTAACGCTTGATATGAACGATTATTGTTAATTTCAAAGCAGCCCAAATGCAGTCAAAATACACCCTACACCACACTAATGGGAACGGTATTTTGTTTACGTCTTAAAGTTTGTAACACCTGCGTCGATGTAATGATGTAATCCGCCCATAAATTAGCCTATTGAACTTTTTTGTAAGCGGTACATGCTATACAAGAATAGAGTATTTATAAAATTCGACTCAACAAATTTTATATATACGAAATTTTGACTATATATTGTTATAATGAGTAGTACATTCATTAATTAAGCAAACATCAATCTCTTGAATATAACTTCTACATTAAAAAATACTAAATAACTTATTGCTACTTACTCGCAATGTGGTAGGGTATGGTGTATTCGGATACATTTTGTACTTTCATATTTTTGTTATTTTATGTAAACAAAAATAAAAATACTCATACAATTGTATTAAATTCACACAGAACCTGTACATGTGAGAGAGTAATATTTCTTATTCTCAGTTTCAGTTCTATTTATTTTTCTATGCTAGAAATATTATACTTTTCCTTCCGAAAACACATATAGGTTTTATACCATGAGCAACTAGTGTAATTAATAGAGTTTTAATGTAATTTTTGCATTCAGAAATATTTTAAAGTTAGAGACATTACATATTGCTAAATTTACAAAAATTTTGAAATAATTTTTAGCATTTCTGTTTATCTTAATACCACGGAACTTAATTTTTTACCCTAGTCCACTATACTACGTTTGAGTATACTAATCGGTTAAGAATCATTTTCTGAATCGATTAAGCCATGTAAGTCTGACCGTCAGGAAGATCTTGAAATTTTCAAAACAATAAGCACGTATGCTTTTTGATCCAATGACAAAACCTTTTAAAAATGGTTAAAGTCCGTCCTTTATTTTACCTAGCCCCCATACATATACAAATGTATAAAGCCTTTCTCAGAAAATTAGTTTAAATATATCGGAACCAAGGTTCAATTCAACATAAATGCTTTATTACGAAAAATAAATCAAATTTTATACTCATATGGTCAACCACGGCAGAATATACTTTCTTACTTGTTATAAATTACAATGAATTTCAGTTACAAATTAATATGAATTGTTCATAAAAACACTTAAAAAACTTTAGCATTTTTTTAGCATTTTAAAATCAATTTAGCATTTTTTCTGGCATTATTTTGGATGGGATTTAGCCGCAACATTTTTTGAGACCTGGTCACACTGAATGCAGAGCAAAGCATTTTCTATGCACGCGTGCTTTTCGATCGTTACTAAATTTACGACAACATACTCACATATATTAAAAACACATTCAGTCTCGTTTGAGCGTTCATTGAATGTGGTTGTGTTGTCGCTTGTTTCATTCTTTTGTACATGAAAATCTGCTAATGCAGGGATGGACAACTATGTATGTTTTTAGAATTATGAACTTTTGCAAAATAAATGTATTTTTAATGATTTTTTTAATCTCATTAGCTGTTTTTAATATTTCAAAATAAATTTTTTTTTATCAGAAGCATTTTCATGTGTTTGAAAATACTTTATTTTTCAAAATTTTACCCGAATCTAAAAAACAGTGTTTGATTTGTATTCATATTTTATTGGAGAAATTTTACTTAAAAAATTTATCAAAATTATTATAAAAACAAACCAATTAAAACAAATAAATCTTATTTATGAAAAAATTAACTATTCATTAGAACTATACTGTATAAAAAAAGAGAATTTTTTAAAAATATTCTATAAAAAGTGAAATTTTCGAAAAATTTTATTAAATTTGTTGGTTCGTGACATCGTCCGATTACAAATCAAACATTCAGGTTTGCCAAAAAATTTTTCGGCAAACAAAAAATCATTTTCCCATTCTAAATAAAACATTTCTTTATTTGTTTCTCTAGCATCAAGCGTACATCCAACCTCACTGCATGAAAGCACAAGCGAGACTAAGTCGTTTTGTTTATTTTTATTCATTGTGGGAGTACAGCGTGTAAATATCTCAGAAGGTTTTGTTTTAAAATTTAAAAATTAAATAGGTAGATTTTCCAAAATAAACTAATTTTAATCTAAAATGCTTTCTTAAATAGATACAAGCAAAGAAGTCTAATGACATTTACAAATTTTAATCTAAAAAACTAATATTTTTATTTAAAACACCACCATTTCAAAATTAACATTTTCCATGCCTGTTTTGAATTCAATATGAGAGTACAAATCGTTCTCTTTTCTTATTTTTCGCTCTTGCAGGCAACGCCTGCTATTGGTCAGTTTTGAAAAAATAGGGGAAAATTAAGTGCCAAATATTGGAAAAAATGTATTCTTGAGTTAAAAAATATTTTTTTTTTGATAGATATCCCACTCGTATCCCATTATGGTACTATAAAGCCCTTTAAGGGAATTGAAATCTTCCTTTTAAGCAAAAAATACCCATTTTGAAAAAAAAATTAAAAAATTAAAACAAAAAATTAAAACAGTTTTTTTGGAAAGAAATAGCTGTCTGAACTCCTTTGGACAATTTTTGTTAGGACCAATAGATGAAAAGTTACACTCATTTGAATAAAACCCTTTATGACCAAAATGTCCAACTTTGACCCCCTCTGACTCCAGCTGTTCTTGACCGATAAAGCTGAAAATGTGTGTCTGACCTACTATCCAATAATACTTACCTTAGTGCAAATTTCGACAAAACCGATTTTTTAGTTGGGTCACTTGACATGAAATTCCCCATATGTATTAGTATTAAATTATATTTTATAAATGATACTCTAATTCATATTTTTGTTTTTGTTTTAGGAAGCACATGTGAATGCGTGTTATAAACATTTTTACTACTTTGTCCAAGAATTCGACCTAATTACAAGTAAAGAATTGGAACCGTTAAATGAAATGACATCACGAATATGTAAAGATTAAATGTAAGATATAGTAAAACATGTATAAAAACAATTTTTTTAAATAAATGTAACTTATAAATTGTATACCCGTGTTATTATTGTAAAAATTTAAAAAAATAAAATATATTATTCCATATTAGATATAAGAAAAAATTCATTCATAAGTAATCTGGGCCATAATTAGAGCAGTGAATCTAAGTAGTAGATAAATGTTACATATATATAAGGTTCTTGTGGACGCTGATGCCAGAAAAAATTCAAAATAGCGGTTAATATTTTTAAAAATTGATTTTTATAATACCTTTTGTTGTTCTTTAATCACTTATTACAAATTCAAATTTCCAAAATAACAATAAACTAAATTCAATAAGACGGATCACACATAGCCAAAAAATGTGTTCAGGCGGATCCAAATTGATCACCGCCATCAATTTTTGTTTATAAAATGATGCAATTTTTAATTAATGTATGTATTTATGGGTTGATGGAAGGTAATAATAAATATAAATTAGGCGACCAAATTTTGGAAATGAAAATAGATTACATTTTTTAATTAATATTTTTTTTTTTACATATTTTACAGAAAAATGGTGTCAAGTGACCCAACTCAAAAAATCGATTTGGATGAAATTTGTACCAAGTTATGTATAGGGTATATGTATGAATATTTAAAAGACTCAAATAAACTAAACTTAACTTGCACCAAGGTTAGTACTATTGGATAGTAGGCCAGACAAAAATTTTCAGCCCTATCGGTCAAGAACTGCCGGAGTTAGAGGGGGAGAAATTTGGTCATAAAGGGTTTTATTCTAATGAGTGTAACTTTTCACCTATTGGTCCTAGCAAAAGTAGGTATTTACATTTTTTTTTGAAATTTCATCCAAACCGGAAGACATCGATTTAAAAGTTGGGTCACTTGACACGAAATTGCCCATGTATACATATGTATATAAACTAACATTTAGATTGAAAGATATAATGTCAGACACATTCGCACAAACGAAAACTTTTTTAAATCCAATAACAACTCTTCTATGTATGATTTCATGATAAAAATATGGTAATGGAACTACGTTCCATGTTTATAAAGATTGTGACCATTTTTATGCATTTGTTTTGTTAAAAAATAAACAAACCAAATTTAAAGAATTTAAGAAAGAAATTTATTAAAGTTAGATGACTGATTTGTTTTCTTATTAAAATGAGAAAATTACGTACTTAATTTCCATGTGCAAAATTCTTCCAGTTCACTATGTATTTTGAAAATAATCACAATATTCCTTTAATTAAAGATTTTTGTTAAAATGTATATCTTTCTTAAAAAATCTTGTACATGTAACATAAAATTGGCATTTTTTCCTATAATATAATCTTTTTAAATCTTTCAGAGATTTTATTTAAACATTTTTTAACGATAAAATTAAAATGTTTAGGTTTTATTTTAAAAGAAATCATAATTAGTTTTCGCTATCAACCTAAAATTAACGAAAAAAGTTGAGATCTAAGATTGAAATTGTTAAAAATCAACTTATTGTTGGCTTAAAGAAGGGTCGAGCTTGCAATAAAATTCTTATATTTGCCAATGGCTTATTGAAGGTATTTTAAGCTATTTGACTTTTAGGAATACGATTTTTGTGAATTTTGATTAATAAACTTAAAATAAGTTTCTATGAATAAAACCGTAAATGTTTACAATGTAACAACCTTCCCAGTAAAAAATTTCTAGACTTTAGGAAGCTAAAAAGGGACCTAACTGCATCTGTATTCGCTTACTGAGAGGCAGGAAATAAGGGAATACCAATGATAGGAGTAATTTTATAATGTAAGCTGAAAAAAATTAAAAGCTTACTACTATTCCTTACAGAGAAGCAGGTTGTAAGTGAAGTATTTAAATGATATTTAAGCTTACTCTGGTCCCTTTCAAGGAAGCAGGTTGTATTGCAAAGACTATTGAAATCGGCAGTTTTACCGAGTCTTTTCTGACAAAAAAACACATTTTAAATTACATAATATAAAATGTTTAGTCATCGAGTTGCATTTGTGGAGATAAGACGTGAATAAAAGTGTAAAAAAATGCTCAGAAAATATAAAAAGATTTTATTATAAATATAAATCTATAAAGTGATTTTAATTAATTAATACATTTTCAATGTAAGAAATATGTTTTTTAAAATTTATTTAAGTGTGTGTTTATCATAGTTTATGAACAGAATTTAAATATTTTTTTGTATGAAATATTTTCAATTATTTGCTTTTGGTTTTCTTGTTTCTGTTTTTTAATACTTCTGCTTTTGTCCATGTACAGTTTGTGTTGTTTTGTGTTTATGTTTTGATTTATAGAAAAATTAACGGCGTTTTGTGTTTTGATTTTTCTTTTTGAAATAGTTAGTTCTGTTGTTGTTAAATAATATGCCGAAAGTGGTTGGAAAAAGACAATTTAATAAATTAAAAAAGAAGAGAGGTAAATAAACATTTATTTAATCTCTTGAAGGCAACAGAAAATAGTCCCGAAGAAATTCCAAATATCAAAATTGTTTCTAATTTTGAGAATTCAGTACCGCAATTCAGTAACTTTTTAACTACAAAATTTTGTCGTTAAATAGTATAAATTCGTAAGTTAACAATAATTGTCGTTATGTGGTATTCTGAATTTTATTTCAGCGATTTTTTTCGTTAAATAAAATCATTAGTTAACGAAAAGTATCGGCAATGTAACGACAAATAAAAAGTTCACGTTAATAATTTTATATTTTAAAAATATTTCAATACAAAACTTTTGACGTTCTCATATTTTTTCCGACGTTTGTCGTTAAAATATTCTAAGTTCGTTAAAAAGTTACAGAATTGAAAATTCGTTAATGCAACCGATATTTGTCGTTACTTTACGATATCGGTAGTTAAAATTAAAAAATTACAGAATTGCGGTACAGAAGTAGATGTAATAGCTGATGATAAAAACGGGACATTAAGAGAAAATATAAGGGAATAGTATATAAAATATCGCCCATCTGTGGCAAGTACATCAGCCATTTTACATATTTTAAATAGTGTACATTCAGAAATACCATTGAGTGAAGAATCCCATTAAGAAAGGGTTTCATATAGCTCCAATTTTTACTGGGCTGTACTTATAAAGTTTACAAGATGTTCAGTGGTTTACATTAAGAAAATAAGTGCTACCATTTATTTTCAAAGTTCAGTATGAACCGAACAAGCACGGCACGACATTTTCCATATAACTTGACAGAAAAACCCGGTAACAGGTTAGATATAAAATTTATTTTAATTTACAAAAATAAATATTGATGAAACTTTCAAAAATTAAGATGACTAAAGATTGTAGTGTACCAACACTTCTGTAGTGTACCAACACTTCGCTACACACCAATATTACATATAAACAACAAATGTAAAGTGCAATTGAGTGAAATGTATCATGTTGCACATATGTTGCATTTTAAGTACTCAATTGTACTAACCAATAAGAAAAGAGAACTGTAATTAGAATAAGATAGAATAATAATTAGAATAAGAGAGGGGAAACTAAAAATATAGTATATAAACCCCGAAAATATTAAAATAAAATCAGACTTTGTTTAAACATACAAAGACTCGTTTTTATTAATTAGGGACTTTACGCTCTTCGAATTATTTCGGATATTAGCGTATTGTAGACCATAGGCACCTGGATGCCGGTCTAAGAAGAAAAGGTAAAGATACAAACCCATTACATGGCGATCCTGCATACGGACCCAAATAAGAAGAAAATTCAATTTCAAATGAACCAGGGACCGAAAAGACTAACAATCGAGGAATACTTTGCGAGACAGGCGAGGAAGAAGGACCAAGAAAGGACAGTCATACCGATCGTAAAAAAAAGAAGCGCCAAAAAAGAAGAGGGGAGGACGAATAAAGGCATTAAAGAAGAAACTGAGCTATTTAAAAAACATCATTAAAGATGAGGCAAACCCACCAGCTTGGGAAATAGCAACAAATATATATGCAGAAATAGATAAGATAAAAGATACTTTAAAAAACAAAAAGAAATGTGGTTCCAAAGCCAGGAACAATTAAATATAAATAACAATAATAATAATAATAATAATAATATAGAAAAATTTATAGTTTACATAATTGTAATAATAATAATAAGTTATGGGATATACAAATTAAAAATTTATATAAAAAATTATATAAAAAGAGAAATAAATAATACCACTGTATAAATGGAAGAAATAAAAGACAATATATATAGAATATATTCAAATATAAAAAAATCAGCGAATAGAAAATATACCAAAGAGACAATAAATAGTAAGATAACAGAGTTAGAAAAATACATAGAAGACTTAGATAAACTAGAAACAAAACCTTCAGAAGAACAGTTACGAAAAGAAACATTAGAATTATACACTAAAACAAAGAATTTATTAATAAAACAAATAACTGAAAAGGAGAACACAAAAATGGCAGATTTTAACATAGAAACAACACTGAAAGTGGTGCCAATTTTTACAGGCAAACATAGCGAGTTAGACGGATTTTTAAAAATAGTAGAATTGTTATATAATTCTCTAAATACAGAAGGTAAACGACAATTTATAGAAGTAGTATATCACATAAAACTTAATCCTAAGGTAAAAACAATATTAGGAACTAGCCCTGAACCTACGGATTATGCATCTTTGTGCAACAACCTAAAAGAGAAATTTAAATCAAAAACAACAGTCTCCCAAATTTACACAAATCTAACAAACATAAGCCAATACAGTTGTCCTGTACATGTATTTAGGGACAAATTGCTCAAGGAAATATCCGAACTAAACAAGCTACAGATTCAAGAATTAGGAAACAGTATAACAAATTTAGAAAGACAAGCTATAGAGAAGGTGAACGAGTCATATGCCTTAAACCTGTTCAAAAATGGATTGAATGATCACCTAAAGCAAACCGTATTTGCTGCACAACCAAAAACTCTTATGGAAGCAATTAACTTAGCAATTGAGATAGAAAGAACAAACGAAGCCCAAGTAATGCACTACAGATCGTATTCATCACAAAACTATCAGAACAGATATAACAAC